GTAGTAGAAGTATGAAAGCCAAAGTACTACACAGCTTCCCTGTGTTTTCATTATTCTTTTTCATTCCTTGCCATCCAAGCCCTTCACAAACACTAGTTAATTCTTTGAAAATCCTTATCTTTGCTTTACACCTGGGGAAAATGAAGCACTGAGGAAGGACAGTACTTACCTAAACACAGCCCCAGAGACTCGTGGTAGAGCTGAGAACAAAGCCCATATCTTTTGGCTCTCAGTCTTGTATCCTAAACCCCTCTTTTTTATTGCACTTTTTCAATTTTCTCTTTTTGAAAAGTAGCAGTTCTAAATAAAAAAGGTCAAGCTCAAACAGTACAGTTGTCCTTCACTCTTCTTCTCCATTTGAAGGGATGTGCAGATACAGAAGTTATGATTCCCTCCACCGTGAGTGCAAGAGAGAAACCTTTGCACTGTGCCATAAACAGTTGAGAGTATATTTTTTTTCTGGTACACAAGTGATCTCAGTAACAGGAGATTTATCCACAAATGCCAGTGTCTCATCCTAAAAGCCCAGTGTACAGAAGAGCCATTACTATCCTGGCATGGGCCCAACATGAAAGCAAGGAAGGAGGTAGCAGTGGACACTGTCTCACTGAAGAGCAATGGTTAGAATTCAAGCAAAACTCTTCACAATCTTGCAGTAAATGTGTTCTGCACCACAGCACTGCTGCCTTTTCCAGATGACCAGATATGTACTTATCTATTGCTATTAACATCCTGCAGGATAGAGAGGCATCTTGAGAAGGAAAATAAATTTTAAAGTGACCCTTCTAGCACACGCCTGGCCAGTAAAAAATTTGCCAACCTCATGGATAAAACTCATATCACTCTACAGTCCAAGCAGATCTGCAGGTCTGGCCCTGCAACATTAAATTCCACAACTGCTTGAAAATATCATGTTTGATTTATTCATAGCATCTACTTTTGGTAGACAGTAGAGCTTTTCTCAATAGCTTACCAATTACTGCAGAAAACACAGTAGTAGATGGTACTAAAATTTCAGTCTGCATAGTTGATTGTACATTTGCCTTGGCACAGGCTGCTTACTCTTTACTCTTGGGATAATGATGTTTTATTTCACAACAATGTTATATGCATTTTCATTTTTGACACCCATGATAAACAGTTTTTTGCTTTAGGTTTTTGCTATAGAGCTTTCCACAGATTTCAGTAGAAAGGTGTAAATACTGAAAAAGGTGGAAATAAATCCTTAGTAAGTGATTCTTAGGCTTTGTTTGATAATAAAGAAAGTGATGAAGATTAAAACGGGCAATTCTAGAATCTAGAAAACACTGTGAATACTAAAATCTTACAAATGGGCCTTTACCAAGAGATGTAATACACTCTGTTGTTCCATCAAAGCTGGAAAATGCACAGCAATTACACTGATTTGGCAGATAAACAAGCACAGTTTCTTAGTTAGAATAATGTGGCAAGACAGATAAGCTTAAGAAATTGTTTCCTACTCCTAGAATCTACATTTAGAGTTTTTATCTCAGAAAGCAAGAGCACACAAAAAATGCTTATGCTGCATATAGAACACATGATATTGCCAAGGAAATGCACATGTTTAACCCCTTTTTATTAAATTTATACAAAATACAGGCATTGCAAGAAAGGCCACAGCTTCCAGTGTTTTTAAAGAATGCACGACTGTTTGCCAGTCATATTGGGCACTCAACAGGTTTTTGTGCAATAAATCTCAAAGCAAGTTAAGAGGAAGCAAAAGAAGACTAACAAAAATATCAACTCCAAAATAGCATAACCACCTCCATAGAAGCTAACCATAGAAGCTGATGCTTCTATGCTGCTTTAGAGAGCTCTCTGGACTTGTTACACTTGTGCACTTCAAAGGTTAAAGATGTTGAAGGTAATCAGTGAGTGTAAGAAGCTTTAATATTATTTAATATTAATTATTTTAATATTTAATATTATTGCCTATTACTCTACAAACACAACACTCCTGTAGCTCACAAAGCACATGGTGACAACTTCCAAAATCAATCAGAAAAGGAAAGCACTGTTATTCCAGGAATGACTTTGTCTGCCATCAGGCATATTCCAGAGAAGAAAGGTGGCTTTTCATTTATCCATGATAATTTGTATTTTAACCACAAAAGCTGGAATCACATCCATTGCTACCGAGTCATTCCTGTTATTAACATTGTCCCAGTGCGATGAGTGGCAATTCTCTGGAAGATTTTGGGGGTTTGGAGCAGATTCTGATGCAATAACATATAGTATTATCATTTGAAAGCCTAAAGGAGTGTTATTTACCTCATAATTTGGTATCATCCACAGCTGTTTTGCACTGCCCTTTGCAAAAGCTTAATGGTGTTTAATGTTCAGGCCTTGGCTGAAGACAGCTATTACAAATACCTGTACAAATTGGTTAGAACCCATCTGGAAAGGCAAATGCAGCTGCAGAAATGCTGTAGGAAACAACTTTATGACATGATTACCCACATAGACACAGCCCATCACTGTAGAGTAAGCCTCTGAATGAAAACTAGTTCTCCAGTATAAAGCATCTACTAATCCAAAAAAAGCTTACTAAATTCCAAAGCTTCAGATTACAGAAGACTAAATGTTCCACATACCCATGCCCTTCCCACTAATTTCTACTAACAGTTGTGAGGACACAGCTAAGCTCATCCAGCTGACAGTTACTGGAACTACAGAGCCACAGTTTTGGCTTGCCTTGCAGATCTTAAATTGGGCAACACTACAGCAATGTGAAATGAAGCAACAGCAATACAATTTAACCCAAAAACATTAGCCCCAGAATGACTGAGGCATCCCACTTCTCTAATAGGGGAGTTGTGTAGTTGTAAAGAAAGTGCAGTTGTAAAGAAAAAATTCCAGGAATGAAAAATGTTAGTTCCAGTACAGCTGCTCAAATGAGCTCATCTCAGTAGTGGTGAGTAGGGAAAACCAGGATTTTACCTGCAGAACCCTCTGGGTATTTGCAGAAGTTACCTGTAAAAAGTTCCATTTTTGAACTGAACAGAAAGCAACATAAGCCTTGCTGCTAATGATATGATCCAGGACTTTGGTAGATATCATTAACTTCACACTTATAAGGGGCTAGGAAAAAAAATTGCTATTAGTTAACATTTTCTGTAACAATTTTCAATCAGAAAGTGACAGCTGTTCTGTCAGTGCAACATTAAGTCAGTTCTATGTTTTCTGAAACTTCATTTCAGCATCACAGCTATTGGAAACTAACTGTGCCATTCCACCCATAAGCATTTATTTTTGCAGCAAACTCCCTGTACCTGTACTTGTGTCATTATGGAAGCCTGCTCTACCCTTGGCTGCTTCCACTTTGAAAGCTCCAGCATTTCTGACTGGTTCTTTTCTAATACAAACAGCAGCTGGAAATCACCATGATAAATCCACAGAAGGGGACTGCCAGTTTCCCTGGACACTTGAACATCTTGCATTCCTCATGCATCTAGGAGCTCTAATACCCTATGCCATGCAAAGCATCACAGTACCAGCAAAAACCCCCAGCCAGTTCAGTGGATGGCTCCCTGCCGGCCATAGCCACCCTTTCACAGTGCATTAACATGCAAATCCACGATATCACATATGCTAATGTCTGCTAAATACGCTTTTCATTCCGGGACCTCAACTTAATGAACAAATGGAATCCTGTAGCATCACTGTGGGGAAAACAATTGCAGAGCACAGAGTGATGAAGGAAGAGCTTGAGTGCTCTGTCCGAATGAATGAATGAATGCAAGTGGATGGCAAAGGAAGGAATATGAAAACCAGTTGTGGTAATTCCTCCCTTCCACCTCAGCCTCAGCAGGATAACCCAAGCAATCGGGGCATGGTCTGTGACCCTTTGGCTCTGTCAGGTCCCACTGCTTTGGTGAAGCAATCCCAGCCTGTTTTGTTATACCCTGAACTGCTACTCAGCTAAAAGCACCAAACAGCATAAAATGGTACAAACACAGTGACTTCAGGGGCTACACATCTGTTCCTTCTACAACCACTGCAAAAATACAGACGCTGGGTTGGCAGAAGGAAAATTTGCCTTTGGGGAGAAATCGGTGTGCTGAGAATTTTTTTTTGAGTACACATAAGTCATCAACCACCAATTCCACTCTATAGTCCACAGAACTTTTTATCACCTGAGACATTTGCATAGCATAAATACAATAAATGCACCTCTAAACAAAATTGATTACATGTATGTATAGAAAAGTTTAGAATTTACAGGGAATCAAATTTGGTTTGACTTCATAGACTTCATAGACTTCATAGACTTCAGCCTGTCCTACAGTGCTTGCAAAGGGCACATAAGATCTTCTTTCCCCCTCCTTCTACACACATCTTCCCATAGCAAGTACCAAAACACATGACATTCTACAGTCTGCTAAGCCCTTCAGCTCTAGAAGATGAATTCTGTAGAATTTCTCTAATGCTCCTCTGAAGTGTCTTTATCCCTACTGTTACTTCACCACAGATTGCTTTAGCTTTCTTTTAAAAATCCTATCAGATGTTAACAACAACATATTTTCTGTTCCTCTCTTGGTGCTGCCAAAAAGTTATTGGAGCTCTAGTTTAAAGAGATCACACGTGTGGGCCTTGGAGTGGAAAAGGGTTGGCAGTAGGTAATAAACTTTCTCTCTTGACACAGAAAATAACCCTCTGCTGGGGCTATAATTTATTGACACTAAGAGGTTTTATGGCACAAAGTTATAACCAGCTCTTCCCACACAGCTATTCCCACCCACTGCACTCATTAATCAGAAAGCCTTTTAAATGTTATCTAGTAGCAAGAATTAAGCAGTTGTGTTTTGAACATCATGTCTCTTAGCTTGCTCTTTCATTTCCTCTTTTGCAACGTTATCACATTATGTTCACTCTTCTTATTTGCTTTTCTTTTTCACAAAGCTCTTTAAACAGCTGCAAAGGGGGAGGGACCACTATGCTCACGAAAATTCCACTTTGCAGAACGCTTCTGTCAGGTCCTACTGTCTGTCTCTTTCCAGGCATTTCATACCTCCAAGATTCAGGTTTGCTTTTACATCTCTTCCCTGTGCATCCCTGCCAACAGAGCCTATTGCCAGCTGTCTAAGCTGAAGAACAGTAATCCACATCTTCTTACTGCCATGGGGAAAATGCACACCCTCGTTCTCTTTGTAGTGGGCTCCTTTTGTCTGAACGGTAAGTGACCTTTTCTTTTTCATCAGTTTCAGAACAGTGAGAGCTTTTGGGGGGTACGAGGTAGGACAGTAACATGAGCTCCGTAACTATTACCTTGGGAGGCTGCTGACTTTAAGAGGATGTATAAAATTGGTTATTTCAGTGTTGTTTTGGGCTTGTTTGGTATCAGCACATGCACTACGATGGATATGGACAGGCAGTTAGGTTGAATATAAAATTACATAACTGTAGGAGATGAAAATGATAATGACTAAATAATATCCCTTTAGATGCTCCCAGGATCATCTGTGATAGGAAAAGCAGATATTGTGCTGAAGGTGAAAAAATGAACCATGACATGATCCATAAATTGACAGATCTCATCCCTCTACTATTATTTTCTCAAGTTCCTGTATTTTGCAAAATTCATAATTCCTAATTTTTTTAACTAGAATGGAAACAGTATAGATTAAGTTGTCATACGTAAATATATGCTATAAAAAGCATATATTTATGCTTTTTATGCAAGAACATTTCCCTCAGTCTGTCAGGATTTCTTGGATATGTTTTAGCCAACACAAACAGCCTGACAGCAGCATGAAATAGTGAATTTAGCATGGGAGCTTATTCCCATGGAGAGGCTCCAATGAAGTGCTCTCACAGAAACTGGCTGAAACTGAACCAAGATCAGATCACACACTTCCCATTATTACCTATTCATTCCACACTTCTTTTGTTTCTTCCTTCTCTGAAAGGCAACTTTAGAAAACATCTGCTTTGCAACAAAAGGAGAGGAAGGGGCTGCTTTAGATTTTTTAATTATACACTTCTAAACCCATGAGTATTTCCTTTTTTGTTTGCATTAATTGCAGTGTAAAAATGAGAAGTCTTTAAAATACAGTAAATGCACTGCTACTTCCATTGGAACAATATGCATTCCAAATCAGCATGTGTTCTTCTAGGAGGATATGAAAATCTTTCTTTTGAGAGTATGTTGAGAAGTAACAACATCATGAAGTAATTTCAGAGAAGATAATGGGACTGCTTCATTGCTGCTTCTTACTTGCTCCTTATTAATTACAGATGAAAACTTGGTGTGTCACTAGTGAGACAGTAAACTACCAAAATGGTAACACATGCTACAATGTTACTTCTAAACAAATACTATTTCAACATTTATTACAGAAATAGTAATTATTACTGAATTCAGAGAAACACTAGAAATAATGTCATGTTAAATTTTGAAATGTAGACAGTGATAACAGCAAACTTGCCTGTATCTTTCACTATTGCTTCTGATTCTTTTCTGTGAAAATCACTTCAACAAATTTGTCATTACACTGAAATCAAACAGCATAACACAGGATGTCTAGTTACTTCATTTTATATATTTAAATTAGACAATGTAAAAAGGAAAGTCTCCACAGCAGAGTGAATGAAGTCCATGGTTTAATTTCTTCTGCTGTGAAATTGGAAGCATCTTGGTGCAATTTTTTTTTTAATGCTCATAGTCCCACAGAGAAAACAAACTTACTGAGGAATGCACTGCAAGTTATGTGGCAATTGCTCTCCTTGTCACAGAGCAGATGTGTAGCATGTTCAGTGAAGCTAAAATAATTTCCCCCAGCTCAGGATCCACCCCAATGGGCTTTATTTATTATTGCTTTCAGTACACAAATATACTCCACTCCCAAATTATGATTGCTTGATCATTGCTGTTAAAATCATGTCTAAAAGCTTCAGTCTACCCTCTGCAACATCTCTGGTGATTACTGCTATTAGGAAAAAAAACATTTTGTGGGGGAAACTGCACTTCCATTTCTTCCAACCCTGAGAGAAAAAAGAGAAGTTTCAAAGGCCTGGCTACTGACACACAATGCACATGAAGATGAAACTGGATGCCTGGTAATTTTGTTCTCATTAAGTGCCATCTGGTTTAGTTATCATTAGTGCAATCTGCTAGACTGTTAATGGAAAGTAGACTATAAAAATTAGACAAGAAACACTCCTTTTCCCAGTATTCACAGAGAGATTGGTTTTAACAAGTTTTAAAAACACTGCAGGGCTGACATCTAGTGGTGATACAGGCTTCTGAGCGAGGTGACAGAGTAGCCCCTTTATTTCTGATTACTAAGTTACAAAGGCTGAACTGGAATAGCAATTTTATAAAGGATTATCCCTAATGAAGGAATGCCTTCACTAAGTACAGGTAATAATTTCTCAAAGAGATTCATTGTTGAATAAATGGTTTTTTATAATTAAAGTCCTGGCTTGCCATGAATCTTCATAGAGTTTATTAATAGTCAGTACCTGGAAATCTGAGCTGTTCTCATCAGACATGCAGACCCCACAGTACGTTTGGATTTGCAGACCAGATGATTGTGATTCTAAATGCATGTTTCAGAGTAAAAACTAATTACAAATCCAGAATTAACTTTCTGCAACTATTCTACAGTTCCTACTTCTTACTCTCTCTTTAACAAATACTCCCTATGCTGGAATATTCACAGACAAGGCAGAAATGCAGTGAAAACATAGTTAACAATTCAAACAAGAACTCACATCTTTGCTAACAGTATTCAGTGACAACTGAATGAAACAAACCAACTGACAATTTATTTATATTTGAATTACAGCCATGTGCTTACATCACTTACATATGCAAAAGTGGGAATGTCTACTAAAAATATATATCTACTACAAACAATTCCCACATAAAACTCCACCAAATAAAATAACCTTAACAAGGATTCTCTCTTGAACTACCACAGGACTTCTAAACTATCCTTTAACCACAAGAAGATTCATTCCTAGAACATGGCCCTCTTTTCTTTACAGTATCACATCTAGCTTTTCCTTGATTGCTATACCCCAAAATCCACCCCAGAATCTAAAGCTTAGAAAGATTCAGCATAGCTCTAGCTTGATAAGCTTTTGATTAGGCACCTTGCATTGAGAACAAATGTCATATTAGAATATCATGTGGTATAGGGCTTTTATAATGACTTGCAGGGAGGTACAAAGCAAGAGTGAATCAAAAAGCAAACTGACCCAACAAACACAGATACATTCATCCAAATTTGTTTTCCCAAATGCCTTGGAAAGTATTTGAGAAGCCTGTTCTAAAGAACAAATTTATAGTTAAGTACAGATGAAAAATTTGGGCTACCAGGCCATGCTGGTCTTACAAGAATTAAATCAAGCCTGGTGTTTACCTCAACCTTTCCACAGAGCTTGTAAAAGTTGTTCTTAGATATGAAATCTCTGTTTGATAATCTTTCCTTTTACCTCACTCCACTTTCTCACTGGATCAGAAATAAGAAGGTCTTAGGGTATTTTTTTAACCTGAATTGGATTCAGAAGGATTTCAAGTTTCAATAGAGACTTGTTCAGCCTAGCAACTTGCAGCCCAGTTCACAAGGAAATGTGGCACCTTACAGACATGCACACAAACTTTGCTTATCAAATCCTGGCTTTTTGGTGTCTGCCTTTCCCCAGATTTCAGGGATATGCTACAACATAAAAACCCCCAGAACAAATTAATGTACCACAAATTTAAAACACTTGCATGGCCAATGTTTTTTACTGTGTGGAATTGGTCTGGGAAATAATGAAGCAAGTATGCTGTAAGGACACTACCCTCATTTCTGAAATATCTAGAGGTGAATTAGGTGAGCTGAATTAGGTGATCTTTTCTATGGAAGAGTCATTCTCTCAATTGCATTGGAACCTGCTTTCACTAACACTGTAATTTCATCAGCATCACAACACAGAACTGCCCAACACATAGCACAGTGTCTCTGGCTCAGTTCTGTTGGCAGGAGGATGAGAACCTTGCTCATCAATATTGTCAGGTGGTCAACAGTGGTTTGAAAAGTCCACTGGGATGACTTTAAAAAGCACACAAAGAACATGAGAACAGAATAAACAACCCTGGGGTTGTGCCAAAAGCTGCTCTGCTCCACAGGGAATGTTCAGGCTTGTTTGACAGTAACCTGTAGATACTATATTTTGTAGTCACTGGACTTCAGCTTGGGTAATCAAAGATTTACAATGTTTGTGCTACTCCACAAATCAGGTTCTACTTCCACATAAAATAAGCCTAACATACTGCATTGGGTTTTCAAATTTTGAAACAGAAACATCACTAGCTACCAGAGAGTCCCCACTCATTAAAAAATCTTTTATGCCACCTACAGTTGGTTTTCTCTAAATCAGAATCTTTAAATTTGTATGTGTACCTGCAACTCTGTCTCCTACAGCACTAAAGAGAGAAGTCACAGCTGGACCCCTCCCCTTGGATCATAGAATAATTCTTCCCCTGCTATTAAGAGGGTGGCTGTCTCCCAATTTCTGAGTGAAATCCTAAAAGTATCTACCAATTTCAGCTTCACATTTTATTGCAAAAAACCCCAAAAGGGTTCTGATTGATCTACTTTGATCTGTGCTCTGCAAAAGACAGTCAACTTCAGCAGAACAGATATCAGTGCAAGCACCATATCCTCCTGTTCACATAAACCTACAGTCTTTAGAAAATCAAAAGCTGTCATTATTTCCCAAAGATGATCTGATGCATAGATATTCTGTGACCCCCTACATCATGTCACTTTAGTCTCCTTCCCATAATCCTGTTTTGTGATGCTTTACAGGAAGCATGGCAGCAGATGCTGAAGAAAAATTAATGAACCACCTACTGAGTCCTGACAGATACAATAAGTTAATTCGGCCAGCTGTCAACTCCTCCCAACTGGTATCCATAGAGCTGCAGGTTTCCCTGGCACAGCTCATCAGTGTGGTAAGTTCAAATTAGGCTATGCCTTTACATTCAATACCACCTGCACAGCACTCTAAGTAATAGTTATACTGGTACTGCTACGTCTCTGCTCTTTCCTCATTTGTGTAACACTATTAATAGGCAGAGTCCATACATGCAATTAACTGGTTTTCACAATGGACCTACAATGGGGAAATCAGTTTATGCCTAGGCATTGAAGGACTGGGGCCAGATCTTCATCCAATAGAATTCCATCTAGCTAAAATTCAAAATCATTCCACCAATTTCAGCACAGTTACTGTAAGTTACCCCAGGTCAGGACCCATCCTGGACTGTGCACACCAGCAATGTGCACACCATCCACCATCAGTGGAATGCTAATCCATCTTCTACTGAAGTGGTTCAGTGGCCTGAAAACAAGTGACAAAGCCACATCCAAACCACGTGACATACCAGGAATACCAATAAAGAACACTGGAATGTTGAAAAGAAAACCACACATAATTCTGGCTGGAATAGCTTAACATGGTTAAAACAATCCTCATGTTCAATAAAAACTACTTCAGTGGGTCTAAAAGACATTTTCACCCACAAGGTTAGTATGTGTTTGACAGTTATTCCAAGGTATAAAAACATAATTACTAAGAGATGCTAACATTAATTGCAGTGGGAATGAGAGCCAGCATGTAAGTGGGAATAATTTCCTGAACTGGGGCTTTCAACTCTGCTGCTCTCTCCCTGGATGTCAAAGAAGATACAGATGACTGCCTCCCTATCAGAATTTGTATAAGGGCTAGTGACTGGACTACTGCAAACTTTTAGAGACATAAAGAATTTATGTCCTGAAATTCAATTGGAAATGAGAGAGACTCTGTTGGAACAAAAGGGAAACTGTACAAACAGCTGAAGTTTCATACACACATGTAGACTGTATATTATATATAGATAGACATAGATGTATATATGTATACACACAGGATTCAATGCCATGTATACCAGATGATTCTAGTTAAGTGTTCTCTCTCTCCTGGGGAACTCCATCTGGACACAGACATGCCTCTGTACATCCTGCACTACCACCATGAACACAGTGTCCCTCCAGACTGCAGATTCTGGGCATAAAAAGGGAGGTGTCTTCCTCCAGAGGCCCCAGAGGTAATCAACAACCTAAACAAGGTGGATGAATGAGCAAGGATCAAGACTAGCACAGTTCTGTCCCTATCCCTCTATAGTCTCACTCTTCAAGCAGAACAAAATTAGGCATCTTTTAGGCTCCAACAATCTCAAGCATCTTCAGGATCAAAGAATTAACTCATTTTCTTGCAGAAATCCTCATGACAGATCTTCTACAGGGAGGTTTCTCTTCTGGACTGCTGTCCAGAGACAGCAGTTCATGAAGCAGAGCCTGCCAGCTAAGAGATTACATGGCAAACCTTACACCAACCTCACACAACCTCATGTAGGCCTCCCCGATGGTCAAATGTCCTTCCTGTTTCAAATCAAAGGTGGAGAAGGGGAGTGGGGGAGGAAAACAGCAAGGTGGTGGTCATTGTTTCCAAATAACTACACTCACTCCTGCCATAACTGTTGTTGTTAAAAGGCATTTGGAATTCTGTATTTATGGGGTTGCTATTTATCATCAGTATGTGCACAAGCCTGGCCATCTTACCTCAGAGAAACATCTGTCTTGAAATACACTAGATAAAATAATGCTCAAAAATCCACTGAGTAAATCTTATTACTGCAATAAAGTGAAACATTTTAGAGACCAGTTTTTGTCTCCATTTTTCCCTGCAGAATGAACGGGAGCAGATCATGACTACGAATGTCTGGCTGAACCAGGTAACAAACCAACATAGAAATGGCTCTTGCAAACCACAAATGTGACTGCTTTCACTCCATCACATGATTGTTTTGTTAGTGCTGGTCTGGACACTCCCATCACTACTCTACAATTCTTCTCTTAGGAGTGGATTGATTATCGACTGGCTTGGAAACCCTCTGACTATGAAGGAATAAATAAGCTGAGAATACCTGCAAAACACATCTGGTTGCCAGATATCGTGCTTTACAATAAGTAAGTAAAACTGCTGTAGTTTATGCAAACAATGAACAAAATTTTAATCAAGGAACAAACATCAGAAACAATGAAGTAGGTCTGGAAAAATTTTAAAACTGAATTTTGTCACTTTTAGATAGTAGCAAGTGTATCTGACTGGGCTACTGGCTTAAAGATAATTTTAGTAACATCAGCACTCTGCTTAAAGAAATCCCAGCAGAGCTGGAAGATGTCTGCAGCGTGAGCAGTCACAGCAGAGGATCCATGACAAGGCTTACAACTGAGATTTATCTGAAAATAGACTGTATGGAAAGAATGAATTGTAGGTATAAATCCAGTTGCAAGAAGACATCTGGAATCCTATCAGACATCTTAGGGTCTAAGATACAGCTTTGTCTCCTTCTACCACAGACCCCAGGACATAAAGCTGTTACAAAGTTCACACATACCATAACTCCAGGTGTTCATACTCATGTAGAAAACCAAATTGTATTCCATTTTGATAAAGCAATGAAAAAATCTATTCTGTGAATACATAATAAATCTGTCACCATTTGACCCTGTTGCTTTATAGTTCATAGAAAAATATGATCTTTCAAAAAAACAGCTAGCTGACAATTTTCTTTTACTTTGGTTTAAGACTCTAGCAAAACCTTGAAGTGGATGATAAATGTTTTTTTTTAATAATCAAAATGTCTGCTTTTATAATACTTTGAAAACCAATGAATTCATGAATACATGATGATTTATGAACATATACAGATGGGAAACCCAGGAAGTTTATATATAACTGAGTTAAGTCCTTGGAATCCTACTACTGGAAACCAGATTTGATGAACACTAAACTAATGTATTAGTCACAAAATAATTCAGCCAGTGGATTAGGATGTACTCTGCCTGCTCAAAGCTTATTGTGGTAAATTGTGACTCTGCTCTCTGCTTCTTTTTGCTACTGGCCAAGTGATACCATTTAATAGTTCGTAGAAATAGAAAGGAATAGTTTCAAAAGGTTTTTTAAATGCACAGGAACAAGCCTCACTGTATTGGATTTCTACATTAGTACAAAGCCTCAATTGAATTTTAGCTAAAGGACAATTCCATGTACTTTCCTGCTGCTGGAGCAGAGTTTCACAGGCATCATTCAGTTCAAGGTGCTCAGGAAAACACAAAGTATGTCCCTATGCCCACAGCTCTGTCTGTGACCTGTGCAGAGGGCTCCGAGACTGCAGTCCAGCCTCTTCCCACAGCAGAGACAGGGCAGTCAGCACCAGAACTCACATATTCCCAGCCCAGGAGTCTGCCCAGCACACGGCATGGCACGACAGCAAAGCTAACTCAGGGAGTACAGACAGATATGTCAGAACTAAGATACAATTAATTTCTCAAAAAATAGCTCTTTTATTGGCAATGAACTAACAACCCCTGTTAGTGGCTGTAGCCACTCGCTCCTGTGTCTGGTTGTTTCACTGTCTGCATGAATTAGCTGCAAAAGTCTCAGCTCACTCATTGCCTCACCCAGGTGAGCCCTTTCCAGAGCCAAACCTAACTGATTCAGACACATATGCCAAGCCTTAGATATTTGTAGCATTTCCTTGCTTAGGAAAAAAAAACCCATCACCCTTAGCACTGAAATAGCACTATTTTCCATGGTGCCTTGTCAACAAACATGAATACAACCTTGGGATACTTAATGGCTTAAACAGCCCTACCTTGTTTGCCCAGACTTTTAGGCAGGAGAAGATACTACTGACAGATAATGATCTTCTCCCTGAGTTAAAGAAACCATCATAATATAGAAGACTCCTCTGGTGGAAGTTCAGCAGTTGGAAGAGATACAAAGCCAAGATTATTTGTGGGCACTAAGAATGCCATGGCTTATCTGTTTTGTAATAAGTAAACATTAACTGGAGTGACGCAATAAATTATAACCCATATAATTACATTTCCTCTGCCTCCACTCTCCCTGCATTTCTAACTAATGCTGCTCATACTTATTTTCTTGTAATTCGGGGGTGATGCTTTGTGTTCTTAGCGTGGCTATGTTCCAGATCAAAGGTACCTCTGTTTTCACATGGCATGATCTCATTTTTACTCAGCCTTCAGAGATGCTGGAAGCTTTAATTACTTGAGCAAACATTAACAAAATACATCAATTTTTTTGGATGAAACAGAGGTGTGTATTTGGTATTTAATAATAATTTTATAACTTTTTTTTCTGTAAGTATTGGACCAAAAATCGACTATTTGACTGGGAGAAATGCATATGTCAATCTGCCTACAAATTATAGCTTCCAACAGCATAGATTTCAGAATAAAAGTATTACTAAACTTTGATTCTTGGAACAACTGGGGTCCACATGACCAAGAATGTCATTCCTTTTCTGTTTTGAACTATGTTTTTCCTCCTAGTATTTTATCACTTTCTCCCCTTTCTCTTCTCCTCTCGTTAGTGCGGATGGCACGTACGAAGTCTCGCTGTACACAAATGCCATTGTAAAGAACAATGGAAGCATTCGCTGGCTGCCACCAGCCATTTACAAGAGTGCCTGCAAGATTGAAGTGAAGCATTTCCCATTTGACCAACAAAACTGCACCCTGAAGTTCCGGTCCTGGACATACGACCACACAGAAATTGATATGGTGCTTAAGACTTCCATGGCAAGCATGGACGACTTCACCCCAAGTGGAGAGTGGGACATTGTCGCACTCCCAGGAAGAAGAACTGTAAATCCTCTGGACCCCAATTATGTCGATGTGACATATGACTTCATTATTAAAAGGAAACCACTTTTTTATACCATCAATCTTATCATTCCCTGTGTGCTAATTACATCCTTAGCCATCCTAGTATTCTACTTGCCTTCAGACTGTGGTGAAAAAATGACCTTATGCATATCTGTGTTGCTTGCCTTGACTGTGTTCTTGCTGCTGATCTCCAAAATTGTCCCTCCAACATCTCTAGATGTTCCACTGATTGGGAAGTATCTCATGTTTACAATGGTGCTGGTGACCTTCTCAATAGTTACCAGTGTCTGTGTGCTCAATGTCCATCACAGATCTCCAAGTACTCACACTATGCCCCCCTGGGTAAAGCTGGTTTTCCTTGAAAGACTCCCAGCCTATCTGTTCATGAAGCGTCCAGAAAATAATTCTCCACAGCAAAAGCCATGCAACTGCAAAAAGACAAAAGCAGAGAATCCTTGTATGGAGCCATCTGACTTCTACAAGAACTCTACCTATTTTCTGAATACAGCTTCTGCCAAAAGATATGGTATGAAAGTTTCTGAAACACTTGACAATGTCAGCAGTCATCGAGATTTTAGGTTAAGAACAGGCACGACATTTTCTCCTGAAGTGCAAGAAGCAATTGATGGAGTCAGTTTTATAGCAGAGCACATGAAAAGCGATGACAACGACCAGAGTGTAAGTAAAAATGAGAAATCCCTGTCCTTCCAAACTTCATCTCCTGTCCTCCTCTGTAACATGCTGTTCCTCAGAAAGCATATTTGAACTCTCTAGCTATTGTAAAGATTTTAGAGAGATTCTAGATATAGCTCATTAGAGGAAGTAATTTATGCCATTAATGAGCAGCAATTTGGTAACTGCAAATATTCTGATAAATAACATGGCTATTTCTACAAAAAGAGTTTGCTGACTGCCCAGTAAGTCACGAAACACTCTTAAAAAAGCTTCATTGTCATGTTCATGTGGTGACTGGCAGAGGAAGAAAATTATATTCAGTTCCAGGTTAGAAATAGAATATTTTTCACCGTTTTGAATCAATAAGACTGCGAATAGACCCACAGCCAGGCGAAGTTAACCAGAAACAACATACCTGCAGCTCATGCATTTATTTACCTAACTGAGCACAGCAGGAAAATTCAGCAAAATTGGTAGAAGGCCTTTGCAAACACCCTCTCTGGGCTAAGACACCTGTCTGTATATGGCAGACACCATGGGTAAGATTAAAAATCTCAGCAGAGGTTTTTACTTTCATTTGAGTTATTTATATATATACCAGACTCATTAATGGTTAGGAGAAATACTTCATTTAAGCAGTGCTGCTGCTGCTGCTCTATTCCCCTGCCCTACTCACAGACCACTAGCTACACAATAGAGCTGATAGAAGCACTCTGTGAGTAATGCTTGGAAAACTCTGGTGGGTCACAGGTTTTTTTTTAAACAAGCACACACAGTTGGGACAAAATCATCCTCATACCTACCATTGTCCTCTCTCTAATCCAGACCCCAGTGAGACTCCAGGTTCTCTATTCCTCTTGTGCTTCCCCTCCCTCAGCCAAGCCAATTAAATAAAGTCTGGTTTCTGATCCTGCAGAAGTCCCTAGAGGAGCATGCTGCTGAGTAGCTCATGTTTTCTATTAACTGAAATTACTGTCAATATAAATAAAGAAGTACAGCTATTAACATTAGACATGAGCTTGTAAACATTGAAACTGACTGAACAGAAGCTGACTTCAGAGTGCAGGAAAAGGTTTTCTAATAGCTCAGAAATTCTTGCAAGGATGTGTTGCACACTAAAGGATCTACAAAGCTTTTACCTGATAGTAAGAAAAATTTTCAAGAGCATTTTATATATTGAAAATCCACTTACTGCTTTTCACATAGGGTCCTCTGACATTACATATAATTTTTCTATATTCATAACTTTGTTCTCTGCTTCCTTCCGTTATCACAGAGGTCTGATAACAGCTGTTCATGTACATTTATATGGTCTGACTGCAGAAGCATTCAATTCCCATTAGCAGCAGTGGGAATTAAAAGTGTGCACTGAAGAAAAAATATGTAATATTCTAATATTGGACATGATTCAACTGACAAGGATGATAAAGTCACTGATGTGAGGACATCCCACGTGTAACTAGAATCAATGAGAGGAAATATTATTCCTGAGATGCAAATGAAGATTGATATATTTCCCCTTTACAATAATAGTCCAATTAGTCACTTCAGTCTGAGACAGAATCTAAGGCCATGACTCTCACAGACAACACATGCAGGGCAAAAAGGGATTTTAATAAAAGCAACAGTATTAATATGCATTAAGCCCCATGAATAAGATGACTCCTGATAAGAAAAGAACTCTGAAGCTAACCTTGTTTAACAGCAATAAACACCATCTATTTTTGCCCACTGAGATTAAGAGAATTTATGAACTAAAATTGAAGAAAAAAAATTCCTTAATTGGATTATAGTATGGGTCCTTCAGGGATGGCACCACACCAGGCAACCACACTCAGTATCTGTTGTATCCAAAAAAGCTAAGAAATATTTACTGTATTTTTCTCCACTGCTCAGATGGGTTGTAGGAGAAAAATCCCTTACCAAGCCTAAAGCCAGTTTATTCCCTGAACCTTGAGATCTCTTTTCTTTTGATAAACAAAAACTCAGCATTAGCAAGAAGAAGACCAAAAGAATATGACAAATTTCTAATATCTTTAATTGGCTTTTTCTTCCAGGTCATTGAAGATTGGAAGTATGTTGCCATGGTAGTGGACAGGCTGTTTCTCTGGATATTTGTCCTTGTTTGTGTCCTGGGGACTGTTGGATTATTTCTGCAACCACTTTTTCAAAACCACACTGCTGCCATAAACCCTTAGCTCTTATTTAAAATGGTCAATACTTACACAGACATTTGGTCTCATTCTGCTCTCAGTTCCCTTTTGTTAACTCCACAGAGATGCCAAGTGAGTTGCACTTACATCTCTTAGAATAGGGAAAAGGAAAGTAGAACTTGACTTACTGGGATAGGAAAGAAAAGGAAACAAACAAAACATTTTTTTTTTCCAGCGAGTCCAGTACTTCTGGTGATATCTTGCCCTTTTTTCAATTATTTGAAATCTGAATATTACACTGAAAGATTTTTACTGTACAAGATGTCATCCTGGCATCATCACCATCATTATAATATTATTATTAGGTATTTTAAATATATTGCCTTAGGAGGGATATTTTCCTTCCTTAGAATACTGCAATTTCCCTATTACAAAGAAGGTACTGCTGTGAAATTTATTTCCTTCAAATGCATCAAAACTATTTGTGTCTGATTTATAAAGATTTTGCAAGTGGGTTTGATACTTAAATCTGAACTGAGAAACAGAAACACTTCTGAGGTAACCACTGAAAGGTTTCTCACTTGACACCTCTGGTAGCTGATGGATCAACAAAGGCCAAATTAATGTATGATAAATAAACATGTATAATACTCTGTTTGATGATGAAATAAAAATAAAACATAAAATTTTCCTTTATATACCTTTAGTCCACAAATTTCCTGCAAGTTTACCAGCTCGTGTATCTGGGGCACAAACACACTTTAATGAGTCTAAGGCTATGCACACTAATCCCATATCATGCACAGGAAAACAACAGGAGAAGACAGTGGTGAAAGGCAGCAAGAATGAGAGGACACCTGGGAACACACACATCTATGTGTGTTTTTCTGGGGAGATTTTAATGTGGATTTAAGTATAACCCTCAACAAATCAGCTAGGGAAGCACATAGAGTCTTAGAATCTTTGGCAAAGGAAAGATCAAGACCCTAGACCCGCATCACAGGACAATCCCACCACAGTTTGTTCCAGGTAACCTGTAAAAAAAGAGAAGTGGGCTCTTGCACTTTTCAAGTTAAACCAATATCAGTTTTCCCTTGGGATGCTATGAGGACACACAACAATTGTATCACCATTGGTAAGTACAACTAATGCCTGGTGAACAAACTTGAAATCCACTATTACTTGCGAAGGAGATTTGAGGCTCACCTCTCCCAGAGGGATTAGCTGACACCTAAACCTGTGTTGTTCAACAAGCCACAGCAGAGGACAATTCCACCTCTACTTAGCTTCACCAAGACCAAGCTAAGTTTCTGCCCAGATTGCCATTCCCAGGCAGCCCCAGATAAGCACATAGACTTAGCTGTGCCAAGACAGCTTCATCCACACCTTTGCAGTTGTTCAGAGAGCTGCAGGACTTCTTCACTTGCTCCCAGCCTGTGGCTGAACTCCCCTGCACCAGTGGCACACACCCCCATCCCTGAGGCCTGGGAGGGCTCCCCAGGGGCCTGAGCACTTCAGCAGGGCCGGGTGCCCAGCAGTCTGAGAAGGAGATGGGGGAAAAGTATCACAAGTGGGGTTGGTGAGGCTGTCTTCAGCCCCACATTAGGGTTCACATTGTCACTCTCCCTTCCATTCCCCTTCCCCTAAGCGCTGTAACTGTGTTCCTCATGCAGACAGGGCAAGGAGGTGAGGGATAACTGTAGGACTGCCTGCCCTACTGATGCAGGTACACTCTGGGTGGGATCACCATATCCTCCTCTCACAGTGTGGGCAGCCCCCGGCCATCTCCCCAAACATTAACTATTCTGGACACTCCCATGGTGACTGGTGGGTAGTGTAAAGTTTAAATGGGTGAAAAGGGCTTTCCTTGCCTTAAATGTTACCTTCTCCTTTTCAGACCTAGAGAGCAGAGCTACTCCTCAGCAGGCAACTGAAACAGCTGTGAGATGAGATGGGGCACAGCCAGCCCCGGGAACAGAGGGTTGCCTTTCCCAAGCAAGGAGATGCTGCTGTATGTTAGGTTACATCCCAACCACAGGTGCACACACTGCCCCAGCTGCTGAACAGCTTTTTCTGCTTACAGAGAAGGCATGGGGACGCCAGAGCAGCTGCCAGCATTGTGCAGGCAGTGTAAAGGTAAAGGCCCTTTAAATATCAAAATAAGCCTCAACAGGGAATCTGAAAGAGGCAGTGGAGACTTAAATACTGTGAGAGCTGCTGCACACTTCTTCAGGGCATGAGGGAGAGGGACTCACCCAACCAAGAAGCCATGGATGCAGCAAGGCAGCTGCAGCCCCCCTGACTGACACGGGCCTGTGCAGAGCACAGACCCCTTTTCTATCATTTTCACCCAGCATCAACAGCACTTTGGGCTCTGGCTCACTCTTACACTCATTACTCTCCTACCCTTCTCCCTCTTATCCTCCCCCTCACTGCCTGAATGCAACTGAAATGAGGCCTCAGGTGCTCCCATCTCATGGCCTTATCTTTATGAGCAGCAAAGACTGATAATGCTTGGCTCTGTAACTGCTGCCTTCAGCTGAATTATCCTCAGCATGGACAAAAGTTTTAGAAAGGATTTGGCAGCTCAGTTAGCAGCTATCACGGAGTCCAGGCAGATGAAGGTCTCAGACTTGACAAACCCAAAAAAAGCTTTCAAGAGGCACGTTGCTGGCCCCAGGGAGATCCCTGCAGAACCAGAGCCACTCATCCAGGAAATGGTGGGTTCTGGTGCTTTCCATGCACTGTAGCCATCTTTATTTTAAATCATGAGTGAAAAAATATACTCTTTCCTAGTTACGTTCTTGGAAACCACCCCTTTATCTTTAGCATTTCCAGATATAATTTAATCCACAGCAAAATTCAGAATGAAAAATTTCACCCAAAGTCCTGAAATGCTGAAAAATCTGACCTCCTAAAACTGCATTTTCCTATTGGCAAATGCTATTTTTGCCTAACCCCCAGCAGCTCTACCTACATAATAGCTAGAACTACTCCCAGTTTGACTTGTCAAAGAATTACAGGGTTTTCCATTTGATTTTTTGGCAAAATTTTAAAACTAGAAGACTGGAGAAAAGGAAATATCAAAAATGTCTTCTTGCTGGCAAATACAAATAGGATAATGTCCCAGCTCATTGAACAAAATAAACTTCAACATTTCTACTTTTCAGGGGTTTTACCAAAATGCTTTCCATTAAAAAAAAGTGGACATTCAAAATGTATTTTAGGTTAAAATTGTTTTTCAGTGGTAGTGTGCAACCAGTCTTTGCTTCCCTACCAGCGAGGAAAAAACCTCTGTTTGGTTTCCCTCCATTCCCTGCCACTGCAAAACTCTTTAATCCTGAACCAATCTTGCCTTCCATCAGAACATGCAGAAATTCTGACACCAGCGCTCACATGCACCACCTACACTCAGATGAGTTTACTGGGGACTCTTTCTGCACCCCTGCAGCCATAGCAAACTGGGAACAAGAGCAAGCAAACTGGGAACAACTGGGAGCATCAATACCCAATACCAAAGGTGGGAAAATACTCTTTTCTTCGTCACTTGAGTTAATTAGGATTTGATCTTAACAAATCTTAACAAAGCAAAACCTCTCTAATAGCAGCATGTTTATTAAAGAATGAAGACTGCATAGTTTGTTACTGCAGATCTTCCTGGGTAGATCAGCTTCCCCCTACCCATACAAATTCTTCTGTTTAGTTCTGCAATGCAGTCATGGTGACGTGTTCTCATCACATCGCCCTCCCCAGCCATAAAAATAATTCTACCACAATTCTGAGCTGATTTCACCAGGAGATCCAGAATGGTAGGTTAGAAACAAAATATCTGTACCATACAAACACCACTGAATATTTCATTAACTAGGCAAATTAAGCTAAAATACCTATATCTCTTGATGCTATGGCTCTTTGCTTCCTCTGCAGATCAATGTTTTCAAATTATTCAGGTTAAACACTGACTTTTGGGGAACACAGATGATGATCTCATCTTTGAGGTTTTAACTCATTTCTAGTTGGGATTAAAAAGAACAAACAAAATTCTCAGTTATAATGCTGCTCAGAGCAAGGAGACAGAAAGGGAAACCATTTAGCCTCAATGCCCTGGAAATGCAAAACCAAAAGTATCCACAAAGGGTTAAGGCAAAAGACCAGGCAGCTCACTTCTCTGGAAAAAAAAAGAAATAAAATCAAATGGACAGTGAAGCCTATTTCCTCCATGCTAATAGAATTACAGAAATTATCATAAGAGCATATGTCTGGGACAAAGTGAATGATGCTCTGAGAGATAGGGCTAACTGGATAAACAAGCTCAGTGCCAAGAACTGAACCCATCCAGTCTGGTGCTCTTTCTCCCACTGCTACCTCTTAACACAGCACCAGATGGGGTCATTGCTTATCCTTCCCTAAGGGCAGGCACTGAAACACCTATTGGTGCAGCTCCTGTCCCACAGGGCTTCCTTCTCCTCTGTTCTAAAAATGAGGGTAGAATCCCATATTTTTCTCTCCCCTCTTTCTCCTTTTACATGGATTTGTGCAACAACCACTTGCATCACCCGGTCATTTCAGATGGGGAGGGCAGTGCAAAAGGTGACATGTAAGTTAACAAGGAAGGTGATGGCTACCTGGGAAATGCCTCATTTTGCAAATCATGATTTTATGGCTGAACTTCAAAAAATTCCACCTTCTTTCTAGTGTCCTTTTCCTTGAACAATAAGGTTTTGTGGGATCAAGTTGGGATCCTGTGCTTGTATTCCCCTTCTCAAATGTTATCTTTCTAATCTATAAAATAGGAATGGTCCAAAGACAGTTATTCTCAAGGGTTTTGTCAAGTTTGATTTCCATTCAAACATTCAAAGCCCCAGATTCTTGCCTGATCCCAGCTTCTTTGTTTATCACTCTGGGTTCAGATCCCACCAACAATTGTACATGCCTTTAATTACTCCTTGGGAATAGCACATCCTTTTTACATGGTCAAGCACCCAGCACATGTTCTTGCGACATGGGACACAATCAGGAAAAAAAACCTCAACAGCATAATTGGAAATCAGGTCCCAGGATCTCAGTTCACTGCTAAATCAGGCATCCCTAATGTTGATACTCATTTCAGAACAATTAAATTACAAGATTTGTTTTATTAAATATATTTGTATTAATTATTGTATTAATTAAACTTCCCCTAGGAGATTGGCATGAGCTTCTGATAGATAAGGATCCCATATAGCAGCTGGCTGGAAAACTCTTCAGCATTGTCAGATTACCTGGCTCATTTATGTATCATTTTACATTTACATTTACATTTGCCCACTATCTGTGCCAGAAGACTGCTCCTTGCCTACAACAACATCTGCTTTTCCTGCACTTTATTTGCCATTTCCAAAGCTCTGACAGCCTGGGTAGCTTGAAAGGGGGCAGCACAGCAAAGCTAATGGGAGCTCAGTGCGCAGAGGCACACTCAGGGTCCTGCTGGCTGCTGCTTGCAGGCATTTCATGCATCGGAGGAGCCGAGCCCTCCCTGCTCCCTGTGCTTCTACAGTCCTGGCAGCGAAGCTCATTCTCAACAGCCCCTGTTCACAGGCAGTAATTCATAACACCATGGAGAGCCTGAACACCCTCCTTCTAACTGCTGCTGTTTGTTTTCTCTGTCAAGGTGAGTGATCCTGAATTTGTTATTCTTTGATGGTGAAGGGAGGGCTGAAAAGGGGAGCAGGAGATGGTTCTGGTGCAAATTATTTTTAGGAAGTGCAGAAGCGCGCTCCAGCCTAAGGGGCAAATGTACAGAATTGTGGTACAGCTCTTTCTATTACACAGCCTGTTGTTCATTTTGGGGGGGAGTTTATCTTTGCAAAGTAGTTAGGTAGTCCTGATTAAAGATGCCAAACAGGACACATAAAGCCATTTTAACATGAAGGAAAAGCACCTCACACACAAAGGTGTGGTTTCACATATTGCAGAGAAGACAAGAAAGTGACAACATTAAAGAGCTTTAAGTATGTGCTGCAAACAGCACATCTTCTCTCTGCAGATACGGAAAGCACAAAATATTTAAACAAAAAAACCACATGAATGCACTTTTCTAGAAGCAGTGGATGCTAGATTTAATTGGAGTGCTGATGACATGTAAAAAGGCTGGCAGTTTGGGATTGACAATAATAGTTGTAAAGATCTAGATTTAAAATTATTTACCTAAAAGATTAGGGGGTATTTATTCCAGGAAATCTCAATCTAAGAGATAGAAGGTATCAAGAAATAATATAGGCAAGACTAGCCATTAAAAAGTGTTCAAGTTTCAGTTAGCAAGTTGGCTTGAATGATTTCACTAATCTGAAAACAAAATTGCAGTCTGAGTGAACAAGAGAAGGCACAAGGAGTAAAAATCAACCAAACAAAACCAAAAACAAACAAAAGAGTTTTTAGCTGAATAATTTCACATGAGGGGAACCCTTGTCTTAGGGAGGTGAGGTCTCACAGATTTGAAAGTAACACCTCCCTTGTGTAGTCTATCACCTGCAGATACTTCTGCCTCCCCCCTATATCTACTAAAAAACAACTGGCAGAAAATAAACATGTCATTGCAAATATTCATCTCATATATATCCATATTTCTTTTTCAAAGGAAATGTAGAATATTTGTTTGTGATTTAATACTTTGTGTCTTTGCCAAATTTGCATACTGCTATCTATTAATGACAAAACAGACCTTTTCTGGTGTTTCAGTTAGAATTCATGAGGATGTGTTGTCCAGAAGAGAGTTTATAGCCCTCTAAAAATAAAAGGTCACTGGCTTCTAATGGTGTCAGGATGGTTATTGCCTAGATAGTTTGGTAGTAAAATGGCAGTGTAAAATACAGGCTCTCACACCTCATCCTGAAACAGGTGAAGTACCTTGTCGTTTAAGAATTTCAGTTTGCAGCTTTTTTGTTTGCCACAGGGTATGATGAACTGCACTTATGAGCGGCAAAAGGACAATAGGAATCTGTTATAAATAAAAAATACTTAGAATAATAAAGAGGTAATTAGCATATTTCTTGGAGCATGCTTAAAAGTCTTTGAATGTAACAGTTAAGCAAATTTTAATGCTTTTTAAAATATATTTTAAGAAGCAGGTTGTTAACTCACTGTAATCGTGTAAACATGATTCAGATTTCTCATTTCCTGGGACTTCTATTGCAAGGCATTCCGACCCCTTACCAAAGGCCTGGTCTGTTGGGCTATATTTTATCTTTCCTCTGCTCCACAGCCCTGTGGCCTTGACAGGTCTGAGGATCTGGGACTGTGAGGGGAAAGGGCTTTTCCAGCCCCATTTCTTCAGTAATTCCCCGAAACTATTACCTTATTTGCAGACTTGTTAGAAAACCTCTGTCATAGCATTACCTTGCACTGCTCTCCTCGCAGCCCAAGGGAATGCGCCCATGGCACAGTGCTCCCCGCTTAGGCGGGGCTGGGGTTCTGCCCAGCGCCCAGAGATGCTGCTGAGCAGTCGGGGCAGTGCCGGGGCTGCCCTGCCCCGCTCGGGGCTGGCCCGCCGCTCACCCCGTGCCCTCCGCAGGCTGCGGCGGCTCCGAGGCCGAGCACCGGCTTTACGTGGCCCTCTTCGAGAGCTACAACCAGTTCGTACGCCCCGTCAAGAACGTCTCGGACCCTGTCATCATCCAGTTCGAGGTGTCCATGTCGCAGCTGGTGAAGGTGGTGAGTACTGCCCCGCCGGGCACCGCGGCAGGGCCGGCGCTTCTTCCGACACTCCTCTCTTTTCCAGGACGAAGTCAACCAGATAATGGAAACCAACTTGTGGCTGAAGCACGTAAGTAGCGCTCAGTGACAGCCGGGACAGCACTGGCTCACTTCCCCTCCGGCGTGGGAGTGTTCCCCGCTCCGCCGGGGCGACCCAGGGCGGGGGGAGCCGCCCGCCCAGCGAGGCGTCTGCGGGCTCCGGGAGCACCGGGCTTGCGGGGCCGGCGCCAGGTTCGGGTCCCTCGGGGCACAGACCCATCCCGGGAGAGCAGCCCTGGACAGGATCCCGGGAGAACAGCCCTGGGCAGGATCCGGAGAGCAGCCCTAGGCAGGATCCCGGGAGAACAGCCTTGGGCAGGATCCCGGGAGAACAGCCCTGGGCAGGATCCCGGGAGAGCAGCCCTAGGCAGGATCCCGGGAGAACAGCCCTGGGCAGGATCCCGGGAGAACAGCCCTGGGCAGGATCCCGGGAGAGCAGCCCCGGTTCCCCCCTCCTCTCCAGCAGCGCCTCCAGGGCCCATCCCCGGGGCGCTGCTGCCCCCCAGCGGCCACCGCACCGCCAGGCAGCCGGGGACAGAACGGGAGTGGAGCCGCGGGGACGGAAGGGAAGGGAAGGGACTGGAGCAGAGGAAGACAGCCACACTTACTGCAGTCGCTAAATACAAGATTTTTGTTCTGGAGACTTCGAAACGCGCTGCCTTGGCAGACATACAAGGGAAGCGCCTCGGCACGGAGGTCCCACCCAGCGCCACTTGGTGCTGGTTAGCTCCCGTAAAGTGGCAACAAACCAAAAATATGTACTTCATGTTAAAAATGCTTTTTAAAAATGCAGTTACTCACCGTTGCAGTCCCCTTAGCAACCAACTCAGTTCCTACCTTAAGCTTGATATTCAAGTTCCTTAAAAGGGGGTTTAACAAGTGCTAGTGACTGAGGCTGTTACGTGAGCCATAACACGCAGATGCTCTCTCTGACCCCAGGTCCCTCAGTTGATGCTCACATCTTACACCACAGCCTCCAGGAACTTGTTCTTACTGTCCCACAGATACTTGTTTTTTTGAGATAAAAGTTATTATTACAGTCCTACACTCTCTGCAAAAGAGTGTCTTATTCTTTCAGCTTTTTCCAGCAACTGAGTAGGCATTCCTGGGCCAGAGTCACATATATTTAAGTCATATATGGGTATGACCAACAACATCTAGATATCTAGGCCTACCTACAATCTGCATATGAACTAACACCACACACAAGTGTGTTTGTTAAAGAAACATCTAAACACTGTAGTATCCAAAGTAAATCAACCCAGGAAGTGGGTTCAGCACTTGGTTCAGATCTAGTCCAATGATTTTCAGTTTCTTCACAAATCTAACATAGACTCATTTCTACCATAATTAGATCTGGAATGATTACAAGCTTCGGTGGAATCCAGCAGACTATGGAGGTGCTGAATTCATCCGAGTTCCATCTGGCCAGATCTGGAAGCCAGATATTGTTTTATATAACAAGTAAGGCTCTTGCATATTTAACTTCTTAATTCAGGGAGAGGGGGGGTGATGTTACCAGTTCTAAAAAAAAAAATCAGCAAATCAGCAGCAAGTTTACAGAATGCACTGAAATGCTGCTTTTCAACACACCTCTGTCCTGCATCCCCCCATTGCTGCTCTCACCTTCATGCCAGCTATGTATTCTATAATAGAATCACTGGGCAGGATCCAGCTCTAACCTGGAGCTGCAAACTTGGCATTTCCCCTTCACAAGCCTCAGCGAGTCATAACATTAACTGAAAGAAATGCAAATTCTAGCTTTTTAGCAGTCAAATTCACAACTTGACACCTTTGACAAATAAAACCTACAGATAAAATTCAATTTAGATGTCAATTTCTGAGGCTGTAAAGAGTGAAACCATAACTAAATTGATCTGTAAGAAGGCAATTATCAATAAAATTGACTCAGCTACACAGATCCAAAACTCAGGTCTATGGATCAAGAGTGATGACACTCCTTTTCTAACTGGGGCCTTAAAACTTCAAATTACCCTTTAATTTTATCTTTTCATATACTCAACTGGATCATATAAGTTAGCAAAGTGTGACTTAAAAAAGCCTCTTACACTCCTTATGCAAAGATACACCCCAACACTAATCCCTCCTTCCATAGTTATTACCTGCACTGTCCAAGGAAGAGGTGGAAATACCAGCAATATTCTTATCATCCCTTGAATTCTGATGTGCTTGATCAATCTAGAATAGAATGAAATAATTCACTTGGAAAGGGCCCACAGGACTCATCTAGTTGGACTGCCATTTGCAATTGTTATTTGCCATTTTGAATATTGATTGCATCAAGCCATGCTATTAATAAGGGATAATATTTGCTTTCAGCTCCTCCCTGGTGAGTTTATAGAGCTGTTTGTTTCAGTTTAACCATGCAAATTTATGATGGTCAGTCTTGCATGAGCAATTTAGCTCCAAGCAAACACATAATTGCTGACTTCCCCAAAACAGAATAAAGAGTTAATGTGTATGATCTGAATGTATGAAACTACCTGGCAAAGATCATTCTAATTTTTGTTATTTTTACTTGCTTTACAGTGCAGTTGGGGATTTCCAGGTTGATGACAAGACAAAGGCCCTTTTAAAATACACGGGTGATGTGACATGGATACCTCCAGCTATATTTAAAAGTTCATGTAAAATAGATGTAACCTACTTCCCATTTGATTATCAGAACTGCACCATGAAGTTTGGTTCCTGGTCTTACGACAAAGCCAAAATCGACTTAGTTCTAATTGGCTCTACAATGAACCTGAAAGATTACTGGGAGAGTGGAGAATGGGCTATAATTAAAGCTCCTGGGTATAAACATGACATCAAATACAACTGTTGTGAAGAGATATATCCAGACATCACATACTCTCTTTACATTAGGCGTTTACCTTTATTTTACACTATCAATATGATTATTCCCTGTCTGTTGATTTCTTTTCTGACTGTATTAGTTTTCTATTTGCCCTCAGACTGTGGTGAGAAGGTGACACTCTGCATATCAGTGCTTCTCTCTTTAACAGTGTTCCTTCTTGTTATCACAGAAACCATACCTTCTACTTCCCTGGTAATTCCCCTTATTGGGGAATACCTCCTTTTCACCATGATATTTGTAACTCTATCGATTGTCATTACAGTATTTGTACTAAATGTGCACTACAGAACACCCAAGACACACACAATGCCCATGTGGGTGAGAACTATTTTCTTGAACTTACTTCCCCGGATCATGTTCATGACAAGGCCTGCCAGTGATGAAGAGAGTAATCCGAAGCCAAAACCATTATTCACTTCTGAGTTTTCAAACTTAAATTGCATCAACGGTTCTGAAACCAAATGCTGCAAAGACGGCTTTGTTTGTCAAGATATGGCATGCAGCTGCTGTCAGTATCAGCGCACAAAGTTCTCGGATTTCAGTGGCAATCTGACTAGAAGTTCAAGCTCTGAGTCTGTAGATCCTATGCTTTCATTTTCAGTTCTGTCACCAGAAATGAGAGATGCTATTGAAAGTGTGAAATACATTGCAGAAAATATGAAAATGCAGAATGAAGCAAAAGAGGTAAGAACATATTTACTGTTATTCAAACTGCAGATACATTTTGCCATTAGAGTGTTTGGTAAGAAAAAGATCTCAGACAAGAAAGATAAAAGAGATCATTATTATATGCAAGTAAACTACACAAGCTGTATTACAAATATGTACAATTTTGAACTTATATAATTAAGAAGCAGCTCTGCTGCACAGTGATCTCTTTATTGACAATATATATACTGAGTGAGGCATGTTAAGGTAACCACTCCTAGGGGAACGTACAAAAGCACCCATCCCATGAGAGATGATACTAGGATTTTCCAAGTTATAATCTAAATAGTGGAATTTGTTGACCCTATGGCCTTCAGAAAGTTACATTCTCCTTCACACAGCTTACCATCAACAGAAATGTAGGAATGAATGTCCCTCACAGTGATGATGGTGCTCGTTCTTGTTGCTGATGCAAAGTGCTATAACTAAATGAGGCCACTACTGTAAGACAGGGACCAACATCTTTCATAAAGCTGCATCTTAATACAATAAAGGAGAAAAAGAGAAGGTTTTTTTAGCATATTCCTTAAACATACTATGAGTAGTAGACACACCATCACAATTTTTAAATACCTGAACTGTGGCACTTCATTATAACTTCATTTTGTTTATACTGAAATCAGAACTCTATTTAGATTTAGTTGGTACAGAAAACATAGGGTTGCTTTGGGTTTTTAAGTTTCCCTTAGCAAACAAGTTCTAAGCTAAAAAGAACAAATTTCAAAAACAACAAATGCATTATTCATTTCTTACCATTTGTGAAAAACAAAAAATTTGGATTATAATCTCAATAGTAACTAAATAAGTTAAGGAGTTAATATATAACAAATAGAATACTTCATTGTCACTCTTGCTACCAAATTCACTGTTAAAAAAAAATTGGAAAAATCAGATTTTTTGAAACTTTGTTCCCTTTTTACATGAAATGTACAGAGATAAATTTTACATCATGAATGAAAACAGTCACATTTCAGTACTACATAATGAAGTACCAAATAATTATATACCAATTAATCTTTGCTTTTTACATACTACCTAAATACCAGTAGGAGCAGTCTGTTTCAGGATCGCTTTCTGGACAAACCTGTTCATCTAAGAATGTGAAGTTCTACACTTTCATTTTTGGAATAGAGAACTTGTGTCTCCTCAAGTCCAGTGTCTTGGTGAACAACTTTCTGGATTTGATGCAGCAGCTTTTGGCTTTCCTCCAAAGAGCATATTCAAATAAAGCTTCTTCAAGATTAATTCATTTGTCAGTGAGAACAGATGTGTAAGCTGTGTATTCATAAGGATATCTACATACAGAAATAACTGTGCTTCTTATATGAAATGGTATTATTGCTAATGCAACTTATTCACCTAATAAACATGACAACTTGTTATTCTTTTTTTTTCTTTTCAGATTCAGGATGATTGGAAATATGTTGCCATGGTAATTGATCGTATTTTTCTATGGGTTTTCATCCTAGTATGTATTCTAGGAACAGCAGGATTGTTTTTACAACCTCTGATGGCTGGAGATGAAATGTAAAGATTAAATAAAATGTTGTGAAATCAAATAAAACTGCCAACCAACTCTGCATCCCCCTCTCAGCACCTCATGTCTTTTCCATGTGTAGTAGAACAAGGATCTTTCTTGGCTTCAACTTCACTTGACCACAACAGCTTTGTTCAAAATGCAGAAAAAGAAATTATTTGGAACTTTTATGACAAATAATCTCAAAGTAATACAAGCTATGCTTTACAGCTACTTCCCGCAATAACTGGAGAAGATGGAGTTAGTATATTAAACTTTATAGGAATGATTTAAGCAGGAGTTAACAAAGAAATGGAAAATTCCATGAATATTTGGAAAGTCAAGATGCGTTGAATGCTTTGGGCTTCTAGGTTTGTTCTGTAGTCTGGTGCCAAGCCTCTTCACAGCATGACAGGATCTTCTGGAAGGAGTTCATAGGGGGGTCCATGTATGGAGGATGGAATGGTGGCAAGCACAAGTACCAAATGGCTGGAATGCAGACATTGCCACCTGCTGTACAAACTGACCCACACAGTGGCAAGAAAGGACTGAAGAGAGGTTTATTACAAAAGGAAAACAATTAGGTAAATAATAGATTATGGTAATAAAGCAGCCATAAAGTAAACTCTGTGTATCCCAGACTGAAATGTATGTGAAGGCTGTCAGGAAAATAAGCTGCTCAAACCTAATGACGTTTAAAATTGTGTACAAGTAAAACACAGTAAGACAGTCTGCAAGTGACACAAAGGATCAAAACACTCTGACAGGATAGTTTGGATACAGAGGCATCCTGCTGTAGTGAAGTGTTTTATGTCAAGGGAAGGCAGGCAGACAAAAATAGTCCTGTAAAGTGTGTTAAAATTGTTGCTTAGGCATATATATCTTTTTTGTTAATCAGTAATTGCAGATTATTTAAGATCACAAATAAAGAATGCAACTAAACACTGTAATCAGAGCATATTTTGTAAAAATACCAACTGCTCTCTCTGCACCAAACTGAAAACTTTGTGGAAATACAATGTATCAAGTGATATTTATGAAAATAAAGAGAATCAAACTGTTGAAAACTGTGCCTTTTTTTAAAATTTATTTTGAGCGAGTGACAGAATGCTATACGGTAGCATTACCTACAGTTCAATACATTCAGCAGTAAGTTACAGAAGTAAAAATCCATGCTTCTGAGTATATTAACATTATTTTGTTTCAGATACACCTGATAAGCAAAAGACCCCAAGGATTCCAGTGTCAGCTATGTTATCTGAATCTATCATGATCAGACTAGAAGTCACTAAAAGAAATTCATGCATTTGCAAAAACTGTGAGTTACTATAACAGAGTGACTCCACTGGGCAATGTGCTGTCCATCATGATATAACTGGGCAGCCTGGAGACATCATTTAACAAGGAGAAAGAGATGAAATGCAGAGTTAAAAAAATAAGATATATATCTAATCTACAGTTGTACTCACTTTGCTTTCTCTTCAGGTAAATTTCAGTAATTCAAACCTATGGAAGACTTTAAAAAGAAATGTTGTATTTGAAGAGGAAACAAGCTATCTGAAGTATTTCTGCAACTTGAACACATAGAAAGTCATTGATGCATTGTTTAACCTCAGTAATAATGAGAAGTTAAAAGGTCTTATATTAATGAATTAAACCAGACAATCTTTACTAATTAACCTTTAAAGTTATGATTGGAATAAAAGAAACATGTATCTAATGTCTGATGTAATTGTGTAACTGAAGAAGACTGACTCCCTAACTGCTAATAAAAAAAAAAAGGAAAAAAAGCCAAAAGGCCTGCCTGATATTATTTCCATACCTGTGAGCCTTTAAAAGCTACACAAAACCAAGAATATCCTGCAGATTAAAACATTTTGAAATAAATATTTAGTTATATATAAATTATATCATAAGTAATCACTATTATAATCAGTGCAGGGCTATTCTAAAGGAGATCTGGGAGGGGGTGTGGGAGAAATATCTATCTGTTCGAATTCATAATCACTATAAAAACTTAAAATTATCAAAGATACCACAGTTTACATTTAAGCTTCTCACCTAAACATGTTATTATTCATGTGGTAATTTAAGCAAACAAAAACTTCCTAAGATTTCCTCTAGCCTGGCACTCCTGTATTAGGCCTACAGGATGAAATTGTATTATGAACAATACTGAAAAAACTTTAGTGTAGGAAAACACCCAACTATTTTAGAGTCTTTTCCAGAAATAAAGCTATTAAGAAAGGAAGAAAGGTAGCATTGGAATCAATGTAAAGGACATATTTTAATGGAATAATGGAAAAATTCTAAGTTTGCTTTCAATGATCTTAGGAAAAAGAAAATATTGAAAATTCTAAGTCCTTGGTGTTTAGAATTACATATGGTTTTATAAGTGAAAGAACTAATCCAAGGTAGTTCTCTTAAATTCAGTTTAACAAATGTGAAAATCATTAATCATCTCTATTTGGTTCCACACAATAATAATTTATAACCCATTTCCTTCAGAAAGCCACTCCACAAATTCCTTCTGCCTGTGCTTAAATTCTTAATTCTGAGTAACACCCAAAGACAGGAAATAATGAACATGCCTGCAATTCTTCATCAAGGGTAAAGAAATCTGAATGTTCCAGCCCCTTAGAATACTTATGCACTTTGGGAACTTAGTTAACCGCCTTTGTCTTCGCCTTCCTTTCCAAAATTGATGGAGACATCAATATACACACGTGCTTTAGGCATTTTAAGGCTTATTAAATGCTCATGTTGGTATCACAGAATTAACAAGCTTTAAAATTTAGCAGCGAATTCCAGTGAAAATTTATAAAGGTCAGACATGGCCAAATTGCTGTTCTTAGTTGTATATTATATATACAGGAAGTTTAACTTGTATTTTTATTATTATTTTAAATTACTCTGGTGAAATTTCAGACTTCTACAACACATTGAAGAGAACTTATAAAAATTCTCCTTTATATACTAAATTGAACTAAGCAACTCTACTGTGTAACTGCAAATATTTAATATTCAGTATAACAATTTATCTAGTAATTAAATAATTGGACTACAGTGATCATCATTAAAAAACTGAAATCCTTCTATATCACAGTAGGTGTCAGTGTATGCTTTTTTGATAAATCAGACATGCCATGGCTTGAAAAGGTTCTTTTAATTCTGAGTTGGCTTAGCAGTAACTCAGTAGACTGGTAATAAGCAAATGGACTTCTATGTGTCCTGGGAATGCCATGCTTTAAGATAAACCTAATTTTCTAGTTTTGGAAATTTTTTTCACTCTATCAGAAACACGCCTACAAAGAACGTGCATGGAAACAGAGCTACTGCAAAACTTAGAGCCAGATCAGCAGGACATGGCCCCAAAGATATTTTATGCATTTGTACTGCCTATATGTGTAGGTACTATTATACTTGCCCATTTATGAATAACAGGAATAAATAATACAAGTGATCCAATTATTGAAACCAGAAGAAAAGCCCACAAGAACATTCGATCAAGCACCTGAGCTATGTATTTCCAGTCTTCAACAACCTAAAACACAAAGAGCACAAAAGTTGGTCAGTGTGTGCAAGAACAGGTAAAAACACAGTACCAAATCCTGCAATTGTTAGTTATTTCAAAGTATGCTTTTTTCAACCATGTACATATGATAACCCTTTTGAGCAATATTTTATAATAATACTGTAAGTTAGAACAGGTGCAAGCTTCCCTCTGTTAAGATTGATAAGCAATGTAGATTTTGATGCAGAAATTGAACCTGACAAGCACCAAACATCCTCATTTGTAGGGATGAGACTGGCCTGCCATTTTCTAACGTACTGCAGGATTCATAGCACATGACATCATAAAGTGGAATTCCCAAGCAGGAGCTGGAAGTAAAAGCTGTAAAAAAAACCCAAACAACCACCAACACCAACTGACAGCAAAAAAGTAACCAGAAAACCAAAACCAAATCCCCCAAATAGTAATAATATTATTTTTTTAAAAATTGTTAGTACAAAGCAGCTGTTGTGTTCCAAACAATTGCTGAAGGCTGCAAAGTTACTGCTGCACAGAATTATACACTGGGGAGAATACTCACAGAATACTCAAGACTACTTTCCTTTTTGATAAAATTATTCGTATCTATACACAGTTTTGCAAGTATTGCAGATATAATTATGAAAGCAAAATAAAACCTTGCCAAACAATTGTCTTGGATTTGGACTGGAGTTGTCCAAGCCTAATGCTTCCTAAAATGTAAGGCTACAATAGTATTAGCTGTCTAGTGTTTATTAACAACTTTTGTAAATAAAGCTTGCATTCTCTGGAGCCCATAAATAATAAAACAAGTGAATCCCTGGTCAGCTGTATATTAATTTCCAAGGTTTATAGTAAGCAACATTACACTTGAAAAACGAAATACTACTTGTCTCTCACAGTCAACCCTTAATTTACAGGAAATGATGCATTTAATAGCAAACCATTCTATTTCTGTTGTTCATACAATGCAGGGTTATTAGATGCTGCTTTAACAGTACAGCAGATGCATTTATTAAAAATCTAGGCCACATCCCTTGTGACAATGTCAGAATCATGTCTTGAGAAGGCACATTAGAGGAGGCACACTACTCCTAATCTCGTATGGCTGAACAGAGCTCTCAGCAACCAGAACCTTCTGAAGACAGAAATTCCCATATAGACTGAAAGAACCTCAGGCTTTGCCATCAGAAACAGACAGTATACAACAAACTTCTATATTTCTATAAGCTTCTACACTAGACTGGAAATTGCATTTAAGTTTCTGATGTACCAATGGTGCTAGCTTAAAAAGCATGTAAAGAAAACAGATTTCTAATGTTCTTACACAAATGTTGTAAACATTCATTAAGGATAATTCAGAGTGCAAATGCACAGACTGAAAAAAAGCCTCTTTTGATAAAACTTAGGGACAAATAATAGTAAGGGTAGAAGAGAAACTTAGGAAGTCATTGAGTCCATGTTTCATCTGAGCACAATATGA